GCTGATGCTGAGGCTGATGCTGGTGTTGCTGTTGCTGCTGCAAAGTCAGCGGGGCACCGTGGTGCGCCGGATGCGTCAGTGGTGGCAACGGTCCGTGGGCATCGTGGCCACCGTGAGCACCGTGACCGGCGTGCGCCATTGTGTGGGTGGCCGGCATGTTGCTGTTCAAACACGCGGTCTCACCATTGATAGGCGATCCACTCTGACGGGCGACAATTTCTGCCACCATAATTTGTCTTCTTAGTACATCTGCGGAGGAGAAGAACAAAATGGAAATTAGCCGAGCAGACTAGGTAAAAGATCGGTGAGCGACTACTGTCGCGTTTGCAACAATGTGAATGATCAATTTCACGTGGAATTTCTATGCGAGCTAATCTCGCGGAATTAATAAGATCATATATTACGCCGGTGGTTAAAGTGTCAAATAGCAAGGAGAACGATTCTCGAGTCAACACACACGGAACGAGTTTATTAACGGCGGTGATGAAAGTAGCGCTACGTGCCAAACGATCGCGGTGACGAAGAACGGTAGCTTAGTGACATGACAGCCTAGACACGTAAGATGCGAATAGATCAGGATGCGAGTGTATTTGCGTTTATCATGATTGCTCGTGATTCAGCGCTTCTCATATCTGACGTTTTCTTTTTTTCGTCACTGGTGGAACGGAAATGTTCCGAAAATGGTAAATAAGTTGGAGCCCGTGGAGAACGCGTTCGTGTTCGTGTTCGCCTCTTTTGGACGCAAGGTCCTTCCAGTTTTCCAGTCAGACGTTTATCAATCCAGAGTGACGCAAAGCGCAAAGTGGCCTGGGTAACGCAGCATTTGCAATCCTAACCACGTACGAAATGTAGTCCTTGTGCGGTACTGTCACGCAACAGTCGAGTGACGGAACATTACGAAAGAAGGTCGCGCGATACGGAATCAGGAAGAAGGAAAACAATCTCGAGAGATTTCTATCGATAGCTGACCTCCTATGCCGTCGTTCTTTTTTTTTCTTTTTTTCTTTTTCCGCCGTTGATCGTTGATTGAACACACATTGTTTCAGATTACGATCCATACCGATCGTACATCGTCGCCTGCCTTTCCGGATTCGAATCGAAAGCGACTTGGATTCGATCGGCCGCGATCCGCGACGTGACTCAATTCAATGTGATCATTCCTCTCTCGTGACACAGCGCGTAACAACTATGTCTATAACATAGATCCTGTAATCAAACCGTCCTGGCTAATTCGATGACGCACACTTATGAAAACCGATCGTCACGGTTGATACAACTAGGGACAGAGTGCTTCGATAATAATTGCAATTTCCTGGAACGATTGTTCATTCATTTAGCTAATCAGCCAACGTGACTTGTTCTCGCTCGGGCTAATTAGCGTTATATCAGATAATTTGAATAAAACATTGTTAGCTCGATTACTGACCAACTCGAACGATCTCAACCTATTGTAAAGTAGATCTGTGTTGCGTATACGTGTCTCTCTGACTCTAGTACTTCTCATCTGCAAGAGCAAAACAGCGTGAAAAAAAGTTCCGAAGGTAAGAGAACGGTTGCCAAGTAGCATAAGTCACGCGCCATTAAATGTACGTTCAACGTGTACACTTTGTGTACATCAAGAATCCATTTTGTATTCGGTGAGCGTGCAATCGAAGATCATTGCCTTAACGCCGAGCGTGTTAAATCGTTTATACAACGATTGCCAGCGGTGTGCCAGCAGATACGCCCTGTGTATTTCAGGCCTTCGAGGACGATCGTTTTGTCGAGCAAGCGTGGGCGTGGCGAGAGGAGATGATGCCCAACAGCAGGGAGAGTAAACCCGTCTTCGTAGAGTTTCGTGACCGTTATACGAAAGAGTAGCACGGGCCGGCCAAAGGTGAAGAATCCCGAAAGATCGAAGGACGTGCTCGTACTGCCAACAATACCGGTCCGACTGCAACGCCGAGCGCAAGTCGCAAAATAGCCTTGGGTAAGGTCGGGCTGTTCCCCAAGGTCGAAGGTGTCAGTGAACTCGACGACCAGTTGCCAGTGATCCAACAAAAACTTCAAATTTCAATGATTTGAAGCTAATTTCCAAAAAAAAAAAAAAAAAAAAAAAAAAAAAATAATCTCGAGTATTTAACTGATTTTGCGTATTCGTATTTACGTCGATTTCATATTTACGATTTACGATTTTTTTTTTTT